ACTCCCAGAGAGTACCTTGTCTTTCTTGGTAAAATTATTTAACAGATGTTTCCATTTGGCATACTTTCCTGATAAATGGAAAAATGCAAAAGTTGTTCCAATTTTGAAGCCGGATAAAAATCCAGCTGAAGCTTCTAGCTACCGTCCAATAAGTTTGCTTTCTTCAATAAGTAAACTTTTTGAAAAGATAATTTTGAATAGAATGATGCTTCACATCAATACGAACTCAATTTTTGCAGATGAGCAGTTTGGATTTCGCCATGGGCATTCAACTACTCATCAACTCTTAAGAGTTACCAATTTAATTCGTTCAAACAAATCTGAAGGCCACTCAACTGGAGTTGCTCTTCTAGACATAGAAAAAGCATTCGACAGTGTTTGGCATGAAGGTTTGATTGCTAAATTGAAAAAGTTTAATTTTCCACTTTATATTATTAAATTAGTTCAAAATTATTTAACTGACAGAACTCTGCAGGTAAATTATCAAAATTCCAAATCTAATCGACTACCTGTTAGAGCAGGAGTTCCTCAGGGTAGCATTCTTGGGCCTATATTGTATAACATTTTCACTTCGGACCTCCCTGATTTGCCTCAGGGTTGCCACAAATCTTTGTTCGCTGATGACACAGGCATTTCCGCTAAAGGAAGAAGTCTTCGTGTTATTTGCAGCAGACTTCAGAAAAGTTTAGATATTTTCTCTTCTTATTTACAAAAATGGAAGATTTCTCCCAACGCTTCCAAAACTCAACTTATAATATTTCCACATAAGCCTAGAGCTTCGTTTTTGAAACCTAGTAGTAGTCACATAGTCACTATGAACGGAGTTCCAATTTCCTGGTCAAACCAAGTGAAATATCTTGGATTAATACTTGACCAAAAATTAACTTTTAAAGATCACATTGAGGGCATTCAAGCCAAATGTAACAAATATATAAAATGTTTGTATCCTCTTATAAACAGGAAATCCAAACTTTGCCTGACGAATAAACTTCTAATATTTAAACAAGTTTTTAGACCGGCCATGCTTTACGCTGTACCAATATGGTCTAGTTGCTGCACTACCAGGAAAAAAGCACTTCAAAGGATTCAGAACAAAATTCTGAAAATGATTTTGAAGTTGCCTCCCTGGTACAGTACAACCGAAGTACATAGAATTTCGAATGTTGAGACTTTAGCACAAATGTCCAACAAAATAATGAATAATTTCAGGCAAAAATCGTTGCAATCCTCAATTGCAACGATTAATTCCCTTTATACTTAGATAAGATTTAGTTTTAGTTTTTAGTTTTAAGATATCAATTGTTATACTGACATGCAGGTTAAAAAACCTGTTTAAAATACTGAATTGCCAAGACATGAACAATGTAAAAACACTTAGATATATATCATAACAATTAAGGCTGGTACGTTACTGCAGTAACTGGAGCACCTAGGTTAAAATGAAATGTAATTTATTTTGAATTTGGAACAAATAAAGAGTTAAAAAAAAAAAAAAAAAAAAAAAAAAAAAATATCTCAGATATGCTGTAAACATCAATTAGACAAGAAAAATGACTAGACCTCATCTAACCTAATCATTTTCCAGGATGCTTTCTTGTACTGGCTGCGTTTGTATTAGATTAGATTAGATTAGATTAGATTAGATTAGATTAGATTAGATTAATTCATAACCAGACTTCTGGTGTTTTTAAATCTGCGCAAAAGGTTTCTTAATTGCCTTGAAGTTTCCACAATTTTCCTTAAGTTTTATAAACTCTTTAGACGCTCACGGAACTTAGCCTTAAATCACTAATTTTTCCTGAAATTATCTGGATGCTCACCAGAAGTTCTCTAATTTTGTTTCAATGTTCCGGAAAATTTTCTGATTAATAATTCCCAGACGCTTCTGAAGCGTTTGGATCAATCTATTATCCTACTATTTCACGAAACTCATTGTACGTCCCTGAAAATTTCCATAAGTTCTGATCGTCCTCGAAGTACTCGAAGCTTCGCTGAATATCATGAAACTATCTAAAAATATCTAAATTTCTTAGAAGTTCTCTGGAATTTCTTGAAGATATCGCTGCTTGCTAAAAGTTCTTGCATTTTTTTTAATTAATGGATTTTTGTTGATGTTCTCTAATCATCTAAGCTAAATTTTCGTTCGTTCTTGAAACCTCCACTATATAGAAGAAAATGGCTCTAATGTTGGCGGATGGATCTAAGACTGGGCCCATCGCTAAAAATCTGCTATTTATCAATTTTATCTAGATGAACGCTTCATTGGGACGGTACTAATGGATAATTTTGGTCGCTATTTAAAATTTAGTCGATTGCTGAATTTATGTGTGGGCCCAAATTAGGTGCCTTTAGGCAGACATTACATCCATTTCCCCTAACACCCTTAAAATACTCTCACGTTTAACGGAGGCTCATATAATTTTTATCACCTTCCAGAAATTTTCTCGGAGCTTTGCTAAAGCTTCCGGAAATTCCCTGAGTTTCTCGAAACTTCCTTAAGGTTTCTGCAATTTCCTTGAAATTATTTGAACTGGCCTTCGATTCTCTGATCTGTCTTGATTTTCTCAAAGCTTCCCTATAGCTTTCAATTCTATTGAAGATCTCGGTTTGCTCAGAAATATATGGAATTCCCGTTAACACTTCTAATTTTCCCTGAAATTTTCTGCACTTCTGTGAAGTTCCTGACATATTTCTGAATTCTAAATGTCTCTGTAATTCCCTGAAAGTCTCGTAACATCTTAAGGTTCCTCGATTATTTTTTTCAGTACATCATGGAACAATCCAGATTTTTTTTTTATTAATTTACGATTATAGATCTTTAAACTGCTCCAAAAGTCCGGACTAAAGCTACGGGAAATGCTCGTACGATCTGAAATTCCCCTCTAGATCTAGCTTTTCTGAACAATACCTCTCAAATTTTCTATATTTCTCAAGTTCGATTAAAACCTGTGAAGTTCTTTGAAATTCTTGGAACTTCATGAAAGTTCCCGAAATTTTTCGGATGCTAAAAGAACCGCTTTGAAGTTCTTAAAGCATCCAGTAAGTTCCCCATATTGTCACTTATATTCCCGCAGTTCACTGAAATTCTCAGCAATTCCTTGCAATCCTTGGAACCTCTCTGAAGTTCCTTCAATTGTTGTTAAGCGAAATTGAAATAAATCATTTATTTGTTTCCTTAATTCTGACACTAACAAAATTTTCAATATCTTGCTCTTGTACATGGAATACGAAACTTCAAGACTTTGAATATTTTTAGATCTTGGACTCACTCAAATTAAGTAAATTTTTTTTTGCTTTATTAAGGTGAGAAATTAAGTAAGTGTTAAAGTTCGACATTCAATGGATTTGATTGTAAAGCTGATTCTTTAAAACTGATTGCCATGTCTTAAAAACGTTTTCGTTAATTGCTGTTATTTTTGATTCACCAAAAAAAAAACCATTTTTTAGCGAATATAATAGTTTTCTTATTATAAGCCTGGAATTTATCCACTAAATTTCTGTAAAAACCTGGAAAACTCAGGAAATTTTATTTCGAAAACTGAGTAGATAGACTGTAGATAGAGAAAGACGATCAAACGTCACAAAGCAAAGAATGATCTTGAAATAAATTCCGGCTAAAAAAGTTGAAAATAGTGACCGATTATAAGAAAAGGTGACTTTAGTGACTTGGCCTTAAAAAGGAGACTTTGTAGTGGTTGGCTTGAAAAAGTGACTCGGTACCAGCTCTGAATCTGAACACGCAATTTAGGCTTAGCAGGAACAGTAAAACCTTGATATAAGACAATCTCGGTATAACGGAACTACTTGAAGATCTCAATATTGAGAAAATATATGTTCTCGAAAACTAGTTCTGACGTTTAGGATATATTTAAATTGATTTGGGTTGTAATTGACCTCTTTGCAAATTAATATAAAAAATAAAAATAAAAATTTAAGGATTGTTTTTGAAAAAAAAAAATTATTGAGTAAAATGTGCGCAGAAAAGCTTAATTTACTAACAAGGAGAACAAACAATTCATGACTGTCATAGGCAGTTATGAAACATATTTAATTTTTAATTTGCTTCAATATAACGTAACTTCTATACATCGTTACGTAATGAAAAATAATGTTACGTTGCATCGAGATTTGACTGTAATACTAAATTGTTGTTCGCATGCAACACAATATTTATTATCCTGATTTCAACTTGAACATATAAATTATTTCTTAAGATTCTTAGTGACGTTCAGCTGGTGAAAAATAAAATGTTACCCAAAATAATAAAATCTTCCTTCTTTTCATTAGAACATTTACTTCACTGCCAGCATTGCAATTTTCCCAGGTAGCTATTGGTCTCTAAGTGTTCGAAATGCATTACTATATATGACATCCAATTTAAAAGCAGTCTAAGAACAATTCAGATTCCTACAAGTTTGTAAAAAATGCATTTAGCTATATTTTAAAGCTCATCAAAAATTCCAGTTTTGTCATGAATAACTTTTCCATTGACAAGCGTTTACAGAAACGCAAAAACAAAAAAGTTTTCTGTTTGTACTTCACAGGCAAAAATCTGCTGAGGATTTTACCTGCAACATATGCTACCCATCTAAAACACCCTGCAGCTGCACATCAGCGGCAGGAGAGTCGTAAAATGTACCGAAAAAGGCCGACCGTTCGCCGGAACTCGATCACGTGAAAGTGACGTGTATTTTTATCACGCACCTTAAAATCTTCAATTTTTGAAACAACAGACACCGAAAAAAAAACTCTCGTTGGAACTTTGCTCACCCCACGACAGGTGAATCCAACTTGCTCTGTCGATACACTCAATTTTCGTCAACACTTGTATTGAGATCAATCACTTTGTCAAAACATTCCAATACCCGATGCCAACACGATGCCCCGCACGCACTTGAAACTCCAATAGGAATTTCCATTCGCAATGCCGCGCACACTTTGCCATCGCACAGTAACACGAATAATAATAATAATAATAATGAAAACAATTTGCCACTCACCTCACTCGTTCGGAGTAAATCTCCACCTTGGTCTTCGGCGTCAGCGGTAGGTTGGCCAGTGCTGCGGCCGTGGCCGCCACCGAGCACCCGCTCAGTCCCAGCCCGCTGTGCACCGGCGAAATGCTCTGGCACTCGCTACCACCGCCGGACGTTGTCGAACTGGCCGGTGGCGTGCTGGATCCATTGCTGGACGAGGACAACGAGTTGGTCCGCTGGCGACCGCCACCACCACCGCCGTGCCCATTCGGATTGTGGTGCCCGTTTCCGCCGGATGTGTTCAGTATCAATGAGGTAGCAAAGTGGTCGGCTAGTTTGAGGGTATTCAACAGGGTGGATCCTGAGTTGGCGGTGTTGCCGGCATTTGGGCTGTTGGAGGAACTGCTCGAGTTGCTGCCGGGGCTGGTCGAGATGGCCAGGGTGGGTTTCTGGTTCTGGCGGTTCTTCTTTTTTTTCTTCTTGGCGGATTCGTCATCCATGCGGGACTGGAACAGGGAGGTTGGTGGCAACCAGTCCAGATCCTTGCGGAGATGGCCGCGACTGCACTTGCAGGAGCAGGCTTTGAACACGAGGTCGTAGCCTTTCTTGGTCCAGAGATTCTGCTGTCGTTGCTTTTCGGACCAGGACCGAGCTCGGCCGATCGATTTGAGGTAGTTTAGGACACCTTCCTCCCAGTGGTCGAAGCACTCGCGGTGCATGAATTGGCCAGCGGTGCAGTTGTCATTGTTGCAAATTACGCGAACGCAGTCCCGTAGGTCTTCCAGATTGATGTAACCGAAATCGACCGGCGAGGATTTGAAACAGTCACCGATGGGGACACAGCAGCGGGTCATGTGGGCACCCTCGCTGCCGGACCCGTCAATCGATTGAGAACTCTCGAACCCATGGTCGGATTCACCGCCGAGAACCCCAAACAGGTCCGTCGCCGGACCAACGGTTCCTCGCCGAGGCGCCATCAGGAGCAGCGGGTGGTACGGGTGTAACGCTAAGGTATCTATTTTCGCGATTTGGGAGGTCCCTCGAATGGGACACTCGAAAGGTTTGATTGATTATAGATGGTTCTAAGGGAAAATTTAAAAAAAAACCGTTTAAACGCACTTTCGAGTCTAGTGGTTCATCACTGCTCTTCCCAATACAAGGTTCTAACTATTCTTCCAATCACTTTCTCACACTCTTCTGGTTTTTATTGTCAGTCACTTGCACAAACTTCGGAATTACTACTCTTCATCCTGCTGCTCCGCTGCAGCTTCGGATCAAAAACATCCCTTTCGTAGTTCAAATACACTTGCCCTAGTTTTTTCCTCTTCTTTCGCCCGTCCGATTCTCTGCCGAACCGAAAATTCCTGCAAAAGCAGCTAATATTATTCTCCAGCACTCTCGCTTGGTTTGTTCCCTCTTCTTCTGGTGGGACTTGTTGTCGTAACACAGAGGAGATCCCTGAGAGCTCACGAGCAGCACACAGTAGAAAACGATAGAAAAACGTGAAAAATCGTTATCACTGAGGTGTTGGACTTTGGCATTTGTTTTTCATCACTTGTCTTCCTTTTCTGTCATCGATCACAAAAATTGGAGAATCTATTTTTAAGTTTTTCCCTGTCGATGCAAATTTCCGAACAGCGTTCGAAATTCAAAGTCCTTCCACACGGTTTCAGATGGCCAAAACAGGAACGAAAACACTACGCATAACTTCATTCACGACCGTGCAAAAACAAAAGAAGGCCAGAAGTTTTCTTGGAACTCGGAAAAGGCCTATTCTTCGACGTAACGTCACGGCAGAGCTGTGAGGGGGGCGGGGGTTAGGCACGGGTAGGCCTCGGTACCATCAAACAGATATATTCAACACCGGAGGGAGGTTGGACCCAGACAGGCCTATTTTCACTTTCAGTTCTGCTATACTTGCTCGATTCGATTGCTTGCTTGAAGAAGACTCTTGCTCTTTGCCTTTATACTCTCGCGTGCGCTCTTACGCCAGCACACACTTCCTTCCTGCACAGCGCCACAAAACACACTGCCAAAAGCGAAACTCGACTCGAGCCTGTGGACTCCCTGCTGAATGTGTAGTGTAGAGGTATAGCCTGTGTGTGGTGTGCTACAACCTTCTTCCTGCCTGGCCTTAACCCAAGCAAAGGGGGAAGCGCGCGGTTTTCCAGCAGGAGTACAACGCTCGTACAACAGAGCGACGGAAGCACGGCACTCTTCTTCCCTGCTCACGGCGGACGACACTCTCACTCACTCGCTCTTGTATCGTGTCTTCCAAAAGTCTTCTCTACAGACGTAGCACTCGCGCTGTTGGTAACTCTCACACGCGACGACGGTGACGACGACGACGTTCCTGACTCACGCGGTTCCTCACTCTCGACGTTGCTGTTCTAGCTCGGTGAAAAGCGAAAACGTAACTAAGCGTGCGGCGATCGATGCCTGTTGGGTATATAGCTATAGCCGTGGAGTGCTCTCGCTCTCGATGGATCGCTGAATGTGTGAGGCAGGCGGCGAGTTCCTCCAACCACCCGGCCCGGCGAGTGGGATGGGTGACCGCGTGTGAACGCTCGCTCGGATTCCCCCTGCCGGGTGCTAAACGTCAACGTATACATAGCGGCAGGTCGTTCTCTCATGTTCACTCGCTCTCAGCAAAACAATCGTGAGCAGTGAGCTACGGCTACGGCCCATCAACCGGCATTGACACTGAATTTGTGCGCGGCTACAGAGAAAGAGTGAGAGCGTACATGCCGGTATGGCTCTCTCTCCGTTTCCTTTCAGTTTCGGTACAATGAAGGAAGAATGAAGCTTTCTTCCTTGTGTGATTTCCAACCCGATGCGACGGGAGAAATGGGTGGCGGTGGTGGGTGGGTGTTTCGCTTCCTTTTTCCGTGGTGGTGATTGTGGCGTAGGGAGTGTGGCTTCTGGAGCAAATTGCAGCTATTATTCGTGGTTGCAACTTTTTGGAGGAGATGCTATTTTTTCGTTGTTTTTATGATAGTTTTTTTTCGTTCCTTTGTTTGTAGCAATTTGATACAGACCCAAAGTGTAATTAAGTGAGGCTCTCAAGTTAAATTTAAAATGGTGCTCACACAATGTATATGCGAATAATTTTTAGTGAACAAAGATGTTTCCAGGAGACTAGGTTGATACCTTGTTGTGTAATGTTGCTTTAAGTTAATTTATATTGGACTTTCAAATATGCATTCTCTGATTAATAAAGAACTTTATTTTTCAGCAGTGACGTTGAATGCCACTTGATAACTTAAAAGAAAAATGCTTCATTACTATCAGTATAAATTTTGTGTGTATACATTCTTAGTTTTAGGTATATGGTGTGGTGGGGAAATATATTTTTTGGAAAGTGTTTTGATGCAAGTGAAATTGGGGTGGTCTCCATGGTTAGGGAGCTCAAAATATAAACTTTTTGTAGTACAGAAAAAGAGGTTATCTTCCATTTAATTCCACATACAGTCAGGAATCCTTATTGCCGGATTCCTTATTGCTGGTATTCCTTATTTCCGGATCCTTATTGCCGGGCTATCCACGAATAAGGATACCCACAGCTTATGGGGTTTTCACTAATGGGGGCTGTGGTGGATTATCTCATTTATTTCAGTACATAAATCTATACTGTCTTCGACAGAGTTTGTGTACTGGGATATACTTGTCATTGGATTCAGGTTGAATACCTTGTTGTGTAATGTTGTTTTAAGTTATATGCAAATATTTAATATTGAACTTTCAAATATGCATTCTCTGATTAATATAGAACTGAATGTTTCAGCAGTAACGTCCAATGGCACTTGATAACTATAAAGAAAAATGCTTCATTACTATCAGTATAAATTTTGTGTTTATGCATTCTTTAACAATCCTCGAAGCTCTTTTTTTCTTGCACAGCCCGAATTATTGAGTAAAAAGTTGATATGCTGAGCTCAGTAACACAGGAGTCACCTTATTGTCAATTACTTAATTATGTAGGTATTTGAAATGCGCAATGCGTGACAATTTATTAGAAGCAACGTTACTCGAGAAACCAATTTTGTAGCACATGTTTCATATCCCTCTAAACATCTATTCTACAAATTAACTTTTTATACATTGCACAATAATGGTCCCAAAGCTGTATTTAAATAGACAAAAATGTTTGCACTCAAACCGTTGGTTTATGTGTATGGTGTGGTGGGTAAATATATGTTTTGGAAAGTGTTTTGATGCAAGTGAAATTAAGGTGGTCTCCATGGTTAGGGAGCTCAAAATATAAACTTTTTATAGCTTGAGCTTGAGCTTGAGCTTGATTGACCGCCCACGGTTGCTACTCTGTTACTGCCAGATCAGCTGTAATTACACAGAGAACCAATAGACGATGCTTGGGACTAGCAATCATCCTTAATGTGTAAAAACTGGTGATCTTAAATTAGGCAATACCAGCGCCGGCTGCACCCGAACACAGGTCAAGAAAGGAATGGGAAGGATTGTGTTGACATGACACTCGCTTTGATGGAAGCCGAGAACACCTCTGCACTTCCACGAGGAATCACTGGGATGTTGGATAAGAGGGTTGGGTTTGCAGCAGGGTTCGTTTTGGTAAACGATAAGCTGAATTGATGTCCTAACGATCATAAAACGCGAAGGAGCTTGGGACTAAACCCACGGTCTTCTGCTCAGTAAGCAAAAACGTTTGCCACTAGGCAGACGAGCACCTTTTTAATCACCGAGTTGCTGTTATGACCATGTAGTCATATTAACAAATAAAACGATTGACGAATCTTGAATGTGGATGGGCCTGAGATTAGACTCATGATGTTCTTCTCAGTAAGCAAAAACGGTTGCTCTAAGGCCACCGAGCCCCTCATATCACATAATACCGTTGCTCAAATTTGTGTATCCATTCAAACCAGGAACCAACGACAACAACGAGTTTCGCAAAATACACGATACACAAGCGATTTTACCATAAATCTCTTTGATATGTAAGGACCTGGGACAGCGTTTTTCTGCTCAGTAAGCAGGCCACTGTAACCGACGATCTTTTAAATCCGAAAACTAAAAACTACGAAAAAGTTCTTAGGCCTTCATTAAGTTCCACTTTCACGCGACGTTCAATGACAGGGTTCTATCCAGGATTACATCAGAAAAATCCAAATCTGGCCAACGCCCACCTAAACCTGTTCTAATCCACCTGAAATGACTAACGAATGGAAGACTTTGACTACCCAGCCATGCAATAGTCTCATTCCGTGCCTTATGGCAACTTGATGATTCTATTGCGCTCATCTTTTGGCACCACCCAGAGGAGACTTGGTCCTGTACCCAATACTTAACTTATCTCCATTCCACTCAGCTACTCGCAATTTCTTGTGATATAGTGGGCGGAATATTATTATATGAGACAATTCAATGCAGACGTCTTTCCAAATTTGGCAGATCGACAGGTAATCGGTGAGTTACCACGATAGTTGCTATTCAACAACTCGACAACGTCCCATCGTCAACGCCTGCTATGAGAATTTCCCATTGCAGACGTCAACGAAATGACGTCATCGAGCTATCGATCAACTACCCTGGTTATCGCCTGGTACCTTATAGCACGATGCTAGGAGGCGAACCGGAAGAATCGATGAGCTACCTCTCCCCCCCCCCCCCCCCCCGAAAAAAAAAAATATAAACTTTTTATAGAACAGCAAAAGAGGTTATCTTCCATTTAATTCCACATACAGTCAGGAATCCTTATTGCCGGATTCCTTATTGCTGGTATTCCTTATTTCCGGATCCTTATTGCTGGGCTATCCACGAATAAGGATATCCACAGCTTATGGGGTTTTCACTAATGGGGGCTGTGGTGGATTATCTCATTTATTTCAGTACATAAAGCTATACTGTCTTCGACAAAGTTTGTGTACTGGGATATACTTGTCATTGGATTCAGGTTTAACTGAGAACTACTCCACTTGAGGCTCTTCACTTTTATATTACTTGTGACGGGCGTTATAATAATATATGGAACGTTGGACCCAAGTTAGAATATTTCGTGATCGTAGCCATACAGAAAGTTGCTGTCTTCAGCAAAGTTGTTCAGGTGATCATGTCCTTGTGGATGGTGGTCATACTAGTTCAAAACTCTCTCACTACGTAGCGCTAGTGTACATGTGCAATTCCTATATAAACTGTATCTCGAGAGCCTGGCCATATAGAAAGTTACTGTCTTCAGCAAAGTTTTGCAACTGACCAAGTCTTTTCGGATGATGGTCATATTAGTTCAGAACACACTCACTACGCGGCACTAGCGTGCAAGTGAACTTCCTATACAAGCTGTATCTCGAGAACCTGGCCATATAGAAGGTTACTGTCTTCAGCAAAGTTGTTCAGGTGACTAAGTCCTTTCAGATGATGGTCATATTATTTCAGACGCGGCGCTACTGTGCACATGAACTTCCTTAATATGTTGTGTCTCGAAAGCTTGTCCAGATAAGATGTTGCTGTGCAATGTGAGAACAGGAACCGCAAAAGGGATGACGTGTAGAAGCTGAAAATCGATGTCAAACGCCATTTTGGAATCCAAGATGGCGGTTATCGGTTAAAAAAAAACTTTATGCATTCGATACAATATCCGTACTTGGGGAATTCCATTTAAAAACTCATGAATAATCACCTTTATAGAGTCTAGAGGAACCAGTCAGACATAAATTCAGCAATCGACTAAATTAACGTCCCAATGACGCGTTCATCTAGATAAAATTGAAGAATAGCAGATTTTTAGCGATGGGCCCAATTTTAGATCCATAGGCCAACATTAGAGCCATTTCTCCTATATATTATTATTATTTAGCTTTATTTAGGAGGCTTTCAGCCTTAGGCTGGTTCGCCTCATTTCTCCTATATTGTGTTGAAAGGGTTTTCGATCCGCGCAAAAGAAAAGCTTCTACATACCATTGTTCAAAGCGGTGTCTCTGGGTAGAATCAGAATAGCGTGTAGAAGAAGTGGATCCTACTCATTTAAGAAGTGTTTTCCTGGACCGTGTACCGCTAAGATCTGTTAGTTTCTCTATTAGCTAAACATCGTTTTATTTACTGATTTTGTTTTTGTTTGAAAACCCGTTTTGCGCAGTTTCTGGATGTTCCACGCTCGAAAAAAGGCCTTTCCAGTATTTCTTTCTTCCAGATTAAAGGTACAAACAAGTAAACAGGTTTCAAAATATTGTAAATTTCAGCTTAGCCATCCCGAATCTTACTAAATTTTAGGGAATTTGAAGCCTGTGTACCAAATGTATACAATGAATTTAAACCGACACCAGCATCTGAGATAATTTGCTCTAGTTGAAAAAGTTAGTTTGAGTGGGCGTGTTCTAATTCGTGAACAACCGACGTTTAAATGTTTTGTTTATGTTT